GGTGGTGGTAGTGGTGGTGGTGGTGGTGGTGCTGATGCTGGTGGTGGTGGTGGTGGTGGTGCTGGTGGTGGTGCTGATGCTGGTGCTAGTGGTGGTAGTGGTGGTGGTGGTGCTGGTGGTGGTGGTGGTGACGATCAATACATGATGATCACATCAGGTTGCAGAGCACACTCAGACGCTAACTGAATGCGTTCTGGGAGTTGACTAAATATTGCACTAACTTTCGTGATTTTCACAATATCACACCTAAATTCGGAATGTTTCTCACCAAATCAATGATCCCACTTGATGATGACCCATACGAAACTTTAAATGGCTGCTCATAGTTTCACAGTAATAAAACTACTAGTTTCTTGCTTGAGCTCTTTTTATGTCACAATAAATGTACGATCAATATACAGCAGAAACAAAGTGGTGCCCCGCGGAAACTTTTCAGTCAGTCGGAGAGAACGTGAGGCGGTGTTGTTGTTGTTGTTGGTGGTGGTGGTGGTGGTGAAGCTTGAAAACACGAACTACGAGTGTGTGTGCGTGTGTGTGTGTGTGTGTGCTCCAGCGCCACATACGGGCTCGATCACCACCGAACCTATGCTTTGCTACTGATGCATTCCATTGGATGAAAGAATTAAGCGATCCATTACTGTCTCGCTCTCTCTCCCTCTCTCTTGTATCGCACATTACTTCTCACACCGATTCCCTCCTCATTACTAGTTCATACTTTCCTGATGTTCATCTGTCAGTTAGACAGCTTGATCTCAAAGATTGATAGAAAACCTAAGGACTTCCCAATTAAACCGCCTCCCCCCCCCCGGCAACATTTTTCATTCATCTTTCATCAGCTTCATTTATCTCTCCTATGGACGCATTGAAGCCGATCTGTAACCCGATTGATAGACTAGCGAGCGCTCTTACAGAACCAGTAGCGCTATACACACCTCACGACCGGGTGTTGTTAACTGACCAGAGTAGAATAGACGTTTTGCTGCGGTCGCGTCACATGCTTTTAAGTATCGCGGTCCGATAACGGTGATTGTAGTCAAAGGGCATTGGACATCGATCGGGCCAGATACGGCAGAACTTCTGGGGCCGGTAAGGAACCGAACTGGTCTAGAGTGGCTTGGAGTGGCCAATACGTGGAACATGCATTAATCACGTTCGGCATTCACATGTAAATACGAAAAACTTATACGCCTCGTGAGATGGATTAGAGTGTGTCTGTGCAGGCATGCGCATGAGCATGCACGCCCATTCACGTTCGCGAAAAGAGGCCGAATTTGCTCTTCCTATTGAATTGTATCGTTGAAAATAGCGTACCCGCGTTTGGTGTTCCCATTGCTGCATTTGTCAGCTGTATCCAACTCAATAAGACAACGACGAATCAAGGTGTGTGCATGGGATTCACACTTGACCGGTTGTTGTTCGAATGAGAATAGTGACCAAGCTTGGTTACCATAATCACAAGACAAACGATCTTTTCTTGTCCCGCCCCCTCCTCCCACTTCTTCGTACATATCCACACACACACACACACACGCACAACTCCCCCTCCCCAACTGGCGTATTTCTTGTTCGGATGTGTTTTATTTGGTATCTTCGATGCAAGCGTGTGTGTGGGTGGGTGTTGTGACTGGATGAATAGATGGACACTGCAAATAAATGACTGACTCCGAACTGTCTGTTCGCTCACACAATTTGAATGCGAGTTGATTTGATTTAATAAAAACTTACATGCACGACGTGCATGCCCATACACACATACGCCCATCGGACGCGTCCGTATAATCTTTTCAGTTAGTAGTTTTGTCTAACCGTGTGTCTATATATCCGACTTGTCCGAGCGCCAATTCTGCTGCCAACAACTTTTATTGTCACACAAAATTTGGTGTGATTAAAGGTCGTGCGTGCCGAGCAAATGGGCACGGGAGAACGTGTGTGTGTGTGTCGAGCAGAAGAAGCGAGGAAAATGAAAACAATTTTATGATCAATATATATCCTACCTGGACAGGATAGTTTACTTGATCCTCCCCCCGCCCCACCCCGGATGTTGTTTCCGCGTGGCGCGTATGCAGCATAGAAGATAGAACACAACCCGGGGGAAGTATTTCATCCCACACACACACACACACACACACCCTATCAAACCCAACTTATATTCCGGTCTTAAAACAAAGTTATTGTTGTTATGCTTTGGCTGGTTTCGTAAAGCTGGGATACGCAAGTTACAAGTTGTGGATTTAGGTCTCATAAACCACGAGAGAACAGAGCGCGCGCGCGTCCCCGAGAGAGAGAGAGAAGAGAACTCCTAATGACCTTAGGGGACAGCACAGAGTTGAACCGGTCGGTAGAATGTAGCCCATATAGGCAATAAAGTTATTTTAGGACAGTGGAATAGATTACCGCGTGTTCGTGTTTGTGGTGGATTGGGTTTTTGTCACTCGATTCACATCCTATTACTGTGACCTATCCGGATTTTATCGTTATCCACCCAGCTCAACACAATGGTCATTCTCTTTGGGTCTCAGATGGCTCCACTGCTACCGATCGAGAACAAGAATTGAATAAGTGTAGAATGTTACCAATGATAAACCATGTATGTCACACTATGATCATGCATTAGGGGGACATATTTGATATGTGTTAAATTTCCTCGTTGAGTGAGAAACAGTAACTTTGGAAATTAAAACAAAACTCTAAATGTTTGTCAATCTTCCGGTCGGTTCGAACCAGGTTGACCTATTGATTTAAAATTGTATTCATCCATTGGTATAATCGGCCCAAACCCGAGTTATCCGGCCAGTTGAAAACCATTCCACAATCGTGTCTCTGGATGGCGCATTTACGCGACCTGCAACCAACCCCACTTGTTGGATATCTACAACTTGGAGACGG